CCCCCCCCAGCCCCAACCCCCAATGTGAGGATTTGTAAAAGAAAAAGAAAAGTATACCTAGCTGAAATGTAACTCTCAAAGTAGTACCATTAAAAGATGTGATGCAGTTGATGAATTTGTTCCTTTCTTTAATTAGATATTTTGGACTCAATCTCTGAATTTGGAATTTTTTTGGTAGGGAACGTTTTCCTCTGAATGGAGTCCTAAACGGTTTGAATTTAAATTAATTGAATTCTAATGAGGATATCAGAAAATAAAAATAAAAACAAAAACTCTAAAAGTAGCCTTGAAAGAAACAAAAAGGAAAAACGAAAGGTGAATATTCTGTCTTTTAGTTACTACTTGAATAGAGAGAGACATGGTTGTAAGGATTTATATAGTTCATCCAACTTATTTGGACTGAGACTAGTAGTTATTCTATTATTTTTATTTGTTTGTTTATTTATTTTTTATTATTTACTTGATATTTAGAGGAAGCTAACTCACGGATCAACAAGCTTGTGTTGAATTGATTAGACTTTAATTTGTGTGGGATAAATCATTTTCTACGGTAATTACCTTTTTATGTGGATGTTTTTAATTGAGTTTGATTGACAAACAACTTAATTATTTGTCCAATGTTTTCATGAGCAGTAACCAAACATCTGAGATATTTTAAAATAACGTTTCGAAAAATGTAAATATTTGTAACTTTTGCGACCATCAAGCCTAATATGATCATGAACATATTTTTTTTTTAAAAAGTTTGAATTCTCCACCTCTAACAAAAAGAATGAAACAAAAAGTAGAAGAAAAATTCAGGGCCTGAACTAATTGGTTAGATTTCTACAAATACAAAATCTGTTCTAAACTTTATTGTCGGACACCAATTTCCATGATAAAAAGACTGATTGGTATCAAACTAGTAAATGCCAAAATTTTAAGTTTGGACTTGGCATGTGTACGTCACTAGCAGAACAACACAAGAAACAACCCGCGAAGACAATTTATGCGACAATCTTTCTTTTTAAATCGATCCAAAAGAATGATAAATGATTATTTTATGATTTTACCATTCAATATCATAAATTTTGAAAGTTTGATTTCTCTTTGATCTTCGTGAGCAGTCAAACATTATGACATAAATTAGAAAATGGGAGTACTTTTTTTTTTTTTGAACTTGGTTACTACATTTTGTACTATTTGTATTTCAATCAACTATTGTCCAAATAGTTACTTTTGAGAAGAGACAAAGCATGCCAAAATAGAAGCCATTGCGATGGTGCATACAACGCATGCTAGCCAACACATTGGCCCACTATAGCATATATTTTCTTCTTCTTATTTGCCTTTGCTAATATTTTCTACTACATGCCATGTTTATTATTATGCTTTTCTCTTTTTCATGATCAATCTAATATCCCCTTTAAACCATTACAAAACATTTCCCCATTGGTCAATTTTCAATAGTCCTACCATTCTCATATACATTTGTCAAATATTCTTTTCTCTTTTATTCCTTTGCATGAAATAGTTTCCTCAAATAAGAAGAAAAAAAGAAGAAGGATACTACTTTATGTTCTCCAATTCCTTTTTTCAAGATGGAATCTTTGGATTTATTGTAAACGTATATGGTATATAGATCAGATGCGGAGCGCCAAGCGGGCGGAGCTATGATTTTAATTTCATGAGTTTCAAATTTTAGAACTACGATTCAAGTGTTAATAATTGAACTCTAAACTTAATGTTTGTACATATTTGAGAAATTTCATCATACAAAAATAATATTTGAGTAAAATTACTGCGTTCGGTCTAACTAGTATCCAGACTTCTAACTCTACTCCTAATACAGATGTGACTAACTCGATCGATTGAGGGTAGCTAACTTGAGTTGCAAAACTAGAAAGGTGTGATAAATACACTAAAAAGGTTAAAAACTCAGCAAAAGAAAAACAGGTCAATGAGAATGTCTCAAATGAGGGTCAACCGAAAGTTGAAGTGAGAGTTTTTGCAAAGTAATTACTTGTAATTATCTTTTAAGTGACAGGAAGATGTAAAAAAACAAACAAGAAGTAGAATACCAATATGGTAAAAATATGGTTAAACACGATCGAAATTCATAAATATCACATGCACGTATAAAGTTTTTTATTAGTTGTACTAGTTCTTAACTCCTAGCAATTCTATATATAATCAACTCCAATACGTACAATGGATGATTCTCTTCACTCATTAATAATTTCACAAATAATAACTTTTACTTACATAATATATATAATAATATATATATGTATAATAGTTTCAAATGGATCATTTTTCTTCTTCATTTATCAAATAAACAAACGCCAATATCACAATCCTCAGAGCTCGAACTCAAGATCTCATTCAGCTTAGGCCCTTCTCCTCTATCACTCAGCAAAAGCAACATTCCCAAATCGGAACAATTGTGCTGATCATCTTCGTATAACGTTGTCTCTTCATGACTCAATTGAGACGCAACAAATTTGTCAAGTGCTCTCCAATCAGCCGTTACATTTTTGCTTCCATCTTCTTCATGATTATTATTGTTGTTGTAATCGGAGACGAGAGACATGGAGCTAATTGGCCTTTTTAGGAGTGGTAGTGAAGGGCTTTCGAGCTGTGGAAGCTGTATGAATTGATCTGAATTTGTATAAGAAAAGTTGAGATTGTTTTCGGCTGCTTCCATTGATGTTTCTTGTTTGCATAGTAGATTATTTTGTAGCATGTTGAAATTATTTGAAAGAAGAGGAGGTTGTCTTGTGATGTATTCAAGAGGATCCACTATTGAGCTTACTGTAGTAGTTGCTTCATCATAGAAATAATTTGATTCCCATCCTTCAACCATATTATTAGTCTTTGTTTGTCCTGTAATTTTTTTCTTAAATGCTCTACAAACCACCCATCCTTCTTCCTGCAACAGTTCAATAAAGTAAATTAGTAATTATTATAGGATTTAATAACTTGCATACTATATCAATGCATTTTAATTTGCTATACCCGCTCCATCTATCTTTACTTGTCCATGTTTGATCTGATACACCCCTTATTATATATAATCCCTATTAATTATACTTAGTTATCCAATGTTGAAAATGAGTACTAGTATTAATTATATTTAGTCATCTAATTGATGAAAATGAGTACTGTATATTTAATAGGCAAAGGTAAAATAGACACAAAATGGTAAATTATCTCTTGATTTTTCAAACTGAACAAGTAAAGTTGGACAACTATTTTTAGTATATTGAACAAATAAAGATGAACGGAGAGAGTAACAAGTTATAACTTGTCTCATTTTCAAGGTTACTACTTCCATTTTTATGGATGGGTTACCTATTATTGTAGAGAGCACACTAATTAATTCATTACTTAATTATATTCTCAACACCTATAATTTAAATTAGTTAACCTCAACTTGTGTAAAAAAGTTGAACTCAGTTAATTATAGTAATTAGCAGTGATATGACAGTTCATCTAATTGTCTTTCTATGTGATTTCATTTTAACTTGGTGGTTATAAGAAGGTTCGTAAAGTTTATATCTAAAGGTTTCTTTTTTCTTTGTTTTAGTGGAGTACATATCTGAATTGTGTGGTAAAGATATAAGAAGTTAGTCAAAGGGGTTGTAGGTAAGAAGATATATATATATATATGGGAAAATCTCTTTTGGAAGAGTGAAAGCTCAATGACCTCACAAAAAGGGACTAATAAGGAAAGCACACTTGTAATTTGCTTCAGAAAGTTATGTCTTTTGACTTTTGAAGGTGTTGGAAATTATCTTTAGTATGTACTCTACTATAGTTAGATCACTAAATAAAAGTGGTGTGCATGTAAAGAACAAAGGATTAATTCTTGTTGCTGTTTTTGACTGTGTAATCTTTTTGTTTAATAAATTGTCTTTATAAAATTTGCTTTTTCATAAAAAATTTAAGTTATATATATTGTCAGTATAAAATTCTTTTCACACTATCATGATCAGATCCTTCAAAAAGATATGTAGAGAGTACATCTAAACTTCTTTAAAATGTGGAATTTGTAAGCTTGAAAATAAGACAGATTACTATCGTGTAAGAAAATTCTTATGAGCAATGACAGTGTATATAACTTATAGTAAGAAGAGAAGTTGAAATTGAATTAGTAAGCAAGAATATTAGATGAAGAACTTGCCTGTGGAGGACCATTCTCTTCAGATTCGAGACGATATTCATGCATGATCCAATCAGATTTCTGTCCATTAGGTGCCCTACCCTTATAGAAGACAAGTGTTTTTCTCATGCCTATAAGTTTTGATTTATTGTATACAGCTTTGTCTCTTCCTGTTGCCTTCCAAAATCCAGCCATTGTTGCCCTATTAGTTCTGGTCCCTGTTGGATACTTCTTATCCTTGTGGCTGAAGAAATACCACTCATTCTGCTCTTCATATCCGATCCGGCATTTATCTGATCATAATCAAAAATATAATTTTAAATATTATGTAGTCGTATATATTGTTGAGCTAGTATACGATTTTCTTATCTAAAAGTTTAAACTGTTAGCAAAAACGTATAATGCAAGAACTCTATATTTGGCTTTCATCTTGTGATATATATCTACGCGCTTGTTTGTTCAAGTATCTTAATGTCTTTTTGTTTGAAGTTTATTGGACATAAATGAATCCAAAAGTTCATTCATTCAACTAAAGATAGATAGAAGGGAGAGCGCCGCTTAGATTCACTATTTATATTTATTGACCACTAATTAAGGCTAGCTCAAGGGAATTCATCGATCAACTCTAGACTGAGCTTCTAGTGAAAATCCAACCGTATGGTTCATTTCAGTTTTGTTTTAGATTTGTGGTGTAAAAAACCCTAACATGAAAAAAGAAGAAGAAGACCATACCTTGAAGATCCCATGGTTCAATTCTGTAGAGATCAATATCTCTAATAACATCAAGATCAATCTTTTGTGATGCAATTTTCTTTCTAAGATAGTATCCAACAAGTTCTTCATCTGTTGGATGAAATCGAAATCCAGGTGGAACGCATGATTCGTTTGTATCCATGATCACTCTTTAAATTATAACTTCTGCATAAAATTCAGCACCAAAAGACAAGATCATTCAACACATTAATATATCTATATAATTACACCTCTTTTACTACAAAGTTATAGCCAATAATAACTCATGGGACATGAAACAAATAGTAATACTAGCCACCAAATAAATGTAACATCTATGAAAAGCTATTTAAATGTAGCATATTATGAACCCTACAAATGTAATCATCAAACCATTTGGTGGTCAAATGAGCGCGTGTTAGACTAATAAAACCTACTAAGTTACTAGTACTATTTTTTTTTTTCTGAGGATGATATGATTTTAATTTAATGGTGGGGTTAAAGAAGAAGAGATGAAAAGGAAAGAAAAGAAAACGAAATGATGAAGCTTTGCTGTCGAGGGAGATGAAGAGTCACTCTTTTTCTCTTGGTATATATATTTCACGTTTCATTAGAATTGAAGGAAACGGGACAAGTGAAAGTTTGAGCTAATGATGCTGTCTTGTCTAGTTGAATGATGGATCAAAAACGGCCTCTACATATATATATTAGTATAAAAATATAACACCGTTACCCTACAAAATGGTCCTCATCAATTACAGGATAAACAAAAAAGTCGTCAAAATTAAATTGTTTGTCAAAGAAAAAAACATGTAATAATACTTCTTTCGTTTCACTTTATATGAAGTGTTTATTATCTGGTTGGATATAAACAATCGGATGGCTTTAAACAATACTAATATTAGGCACGCTTTGGTTTGAAAGGAGAAAAAAAAGAGTAGGAGGCAAAAAGGAATAGTACTGTGTATTATGGGATATATTCAAGCTTGCTAAAAAAGGGCATGTAAATAAAGGGAAAAGAAAAAGACGAAAAGCCACTAGCTATATAGGTAGTGTGTGAAAATTTTGAATGTTTGAAGGAAGAAAATAATGTATCATCCCAAAGAAGGAATAATCTGAACCACTTGTCTGTTTGTCTAGAATGAACTTGACACCTTCTGACTCATTTCTTTGATAGGTGCACTCTAATACGCAGGACCATATTTTTCATCAACTTACTAATTATGTAAGCAATTTCGAATAGTTAGAGCGAAAATCTCAATGTATCGTGACAACAAAATTTGCCAGAGTCACACAACACAAGAACATAACGCTGACAATAATTTTTTTACAAATAATGCAATCCTAACTATAGTAGTCCATGATGCAAGATGGGGGATTCAATTTATACGTAAATTGATTCGGACACTACTTTAATATTTGCATGAAATGCATATATAATTGATATAAAGGGCTTTTATATATACCTGCAGTGTTTTTTTTTGTTAGCTTGATCAGTGCGAAGGTAGTAGCTAATGATTGGGTTAAGGAAATGGAGAAGAAGACAGAAAAAACTGAAAGAATATTGTAAGAGAAAGCTAGACAGAGAGAAGTGAAGTTTCCACAGATTGAAATAAAAGCAAGTACTGTATTAAAAGAGAAGGAGAAGAGGGTGGAGGGTTCGGGGGGGGG